TAACCGTAAATTCACACAAACCGGGACCGGAAGTGCCCAAGGTCAAGGCGTATACACGCAATGCAACGACACATCAACAAGGCTATTATATATAAGAATTTCTAACTTTTGTGGAAGGAAGCTATCTGCACGTGCAATTGATCTGCACTCATTAAATATTAATTCAAGTCTCCTTAATTATCCAAATTATTAGAAACAAACTGGAAGAGTGGGACTTGCCTTTTAGAAGACCTTATATACTGTAGGATTAATACTGGGTTCAATCATTTTCGGTAAGCTTCAATGGCATCCACATCTCAACCCTATAGAACATGAAGGGACAAGATGGACCAGAGATTGATCGGGTGTCCAGCAGCAGAATCTGGCAGAAATATTGAGGACGACCTATTCAATACATGGAATAACCTTCAATAATTTTTTTTCTTCAATTTTATGAACTCTTTGAGAAGCAATTGACTTGATCAAATTCGTTTGCACGTATGAAAAAAAAACAGTACTGAATGTTGCAAATTTTTATTCCCCCCCCCTGCAAACAAAGTTCAGGGGGTTATATAGGAATCACTTTGTCCGTCTGTCCGTCTGTCCGTCTAGCTGTCTGTCCGTTTGTCTGTGCAATCGTGTCAGGTCCATATCTAACTTACAGAGGAACATTAGAATTTACTTCTCCACACTAAGATTGCTCATGACTTAAGGGTGTGTCATGACCTTGACCCGATGTCAATTGGGAAAGTTCAAGGTCACTGAAGGAAAAAATTCATAAATCGTGTCCGGTCCTTATCTTTCTTATAAATAAACTTAAAAAGTTGTCATTTCATCGAAGATTGTCCATGACCTAAGAGTGTGTCATGACCTTGAAGAAAGGTTATTTGACAATGTTCAAGGTCACTGTAAGAAAAATTTAATAACTCATGTTTGATACATATCTTTTATGGAAAAACTTGGTAGGTTCTAATTTCACACAGAGATTGCCCTTGACCCAAGGGTGTGTCATGACATTAAACTAAGGTCATTTGGGAAAGTTCAGGGTCACTGGAAGAAAAATTTCATAATTCGTATCCGGTCCATATCTTCCTTATGGATAAATTTGGTAGATTCTCATTTCACACAAAGATTGCCCATGCCCCAGGGGTATGTCATGACCTTGACCCAGGGTCATTTTGAGATGTTTAAGGTCACTGGTAGAAAATATGTTATTCGTGTACGGTCCATATTTTTTTCTGGATAATGTTGAAAGGTTCTCATTTCACACAAAAATTGTCCATGATCGAAGGGTGTGTTATGAATTTGACCCAGAGTCATTTGGGAAAGGTCAAGGTCACCGGAAGAAAAATTTGATAATTTGTGTCCGGTCCATATCTTTCTTATGATAAACATGGTAGGTTCTCATTCCTCTCAAAGATTGCCCATGACCCAAGGGTGTGTCATAACCTTGACCCAAGGTCTTTTGAGGAAGTTCAAGGTCACTGGAAGAAAAAATTCATAATTTGTGTTTGATACATATCTTTATTATGGAAAAACGAACTTCTAAAAAACCCAGCGGGGGTAATTTGTCCCGTTTGGACAGTTTTAGTTAATTCTAGGGTGCCTTCACTCCTCTGCATTTTGTGCTTAAGTGTTTCAATATAATTATTTTAAGTGAAAAAAAAAATATTTTGCTTTTTTTATCCTGTATAGTTTCCAATCTAAATTGTCTGAATTATTTTATATTAAAACGGTGTAAACCGAAAACTTACGCGGGGATTTAAAAATTTTGATTAGTATAATTGTGTGTCAATTATTCTTAGTTGATTTACTGGGGATTCTTTTGTTAACTCCTGATTTCGACAAGGAAAACTCGGGTGCCTCCATTGCACCTGATCCCACCTCAAAAGTTTTGAAGGTCCGTGATTCTTCTTCTCCTTTTTTGTACTTTTTTATGCATTTTCAAAACAATTAGCACTGTTTGTTTTCTCAATGTGTTTTATCCTCATAGAAAGATGATTGTATATATCTAACATTCCCAGACACTGTATTTAAAATATCTTGCTCAGAAATTGTCTTATCCATATATGTTCTTTAAATCGACTACTATTCGTTATCTTTGTTATGTACATGTAACACAGTGATTTGAGCATTTGCTGTGATTTAAGTAAGGAATCCAACTGTGGGACGTTGGGGCAAGTACGTACAAGTCCATCGACTGCTTCGATATTAATCAAAGTTCAGTGTCAAAGTACGCGCAGACATGTAAATGGATCATGTAAAACGAATTTTGACCAGAGCACAATACATTAAGTAAGTACAATCTATAGCTAGCAGTTGTAAACTAATTTTTTTCTCTGAAATACTGTTCTTCATTAATTATATAACTTTCAGAAGTGTCAATTTTTTGGAAGTGTATAGGCTACACTGGGTCTTTCGTGAATTTTTGAAAGAACTTGCGGCCCAAGAAAGGTAACTTCGTAATTGTATTGTATTTAAATCGATTACTGCGTATTTTATTGATTAAATTTCCCTTATGTTGTATTTAGAGAGAGTTTTATGATCTAATTCTGTCTACTTTCGATTTCACACTAACCCTTGAAGCCATAACTTAAGTGATCGAGCTTGGTCTCCAGGTCTCCGTCCAAGTAATGTTGTTGTTAAAAATGTGTGTTAACTGGATGTATCATATATTTCTTTTCATTAAATATTAACCTGTATTTTACAGTAGAGATATATGCGGAGGTTACATATTAAAAAAATATGAAGTAAGAAACTCGTAGATCTAAGGTAGAGATCGATAGAACTAATGGTGACAACTTGTATTGACAAATATTTAAACAGCATGTTGCTCAATTATCAAGACAAAAATTGGAGGACGAATATTGGGAGAATATTAAACCAATTGGTATAGATTTTGCCCATGAATTAAATTTTCGTACACTGAATATCTGGTTTACCCCAAAATAATGCAAAATAGGGTTGTAAAATTTTTTTTTCTATCAAATTAATGAAACTCTCATATCATCAATAACATTATACCATATCAGCTCTGTAAAAAAGAAATTCAGAAGATTTGGGGAGAACATGCTCTTATGTATGAACATGTTTAGAATAAGGCTGTTGAAAAACTAATAAAGCTTGATTCTTCAAATATAAACATTTATTCAATTCTATTTCCCCTGATTCAAGTGCAATTTCGAAATCAGTTTAGAATTATTGAAGAATAAATCAACTATAAAAATCAAATGATTTTAAAATGTGACCAACCATTAATCAATAAAATTACACAACCAAGCCATATTTGACTTAATAGCACGTAGTATTTGCAGCCAGGACTTCACGGGGCCTTTAAATAGTGAAGATATCTTATTGGCCGCTTACTTGGATTCAAAGTAAGAAGTATTGATGTATCTATAAAGTGAAGCGATCCTGATGAAAGTCATTCGTGTGGTGCAGTGGTTATAGGACCAGCTCTAGAGTCGAGAAGTGAGGAGTTAATCCTTAAGTCGCGGGTTCGAATTCCACTTTGGGAATCTCTTATACCTATCTAATTCCCATTAGAAAACATACTGAAGCGCTGCTTTTTAAATCACAATTACAAATTGTTTTCTGTGCATGTAAAATAACACGCATCCATTAACAAGAGTTATCGTTCCATTATCGCCCTTGAAAATATTTTTTAATGAGGCAAAATATTAATTAAATGTTTATAAACAATACTGCATCTGAAATTTCTGTACAGATAAAAGAATTATACTTTAAGAGATAGAGATTTCTCAATTTGCACTGTTTAAAGATACTGAGTATAAATGTTTTAAGTAAATTATTATAAATGATTAATGTGCATACTAGCAATAGAAAGTATAAATCAACATTTGAACCAAAGAATAAGTTTGATTGAGTTGACTATAAAACGGTTCTTAAGAATGAAACTTGTAAACTCTGACATGATAATTCACTGAATTTCATGACAAAATGTCTGAAGAAAGTTATCTATCTTATCAGAAAAGTTGTCTTTCTTATCAGAGGGATATTGCCCCTTAAAGTCAAAATTCTTGGTACACTGTTTCCAATAAAGGGTTTTTCTCTAAAGGATTATATATGTGAAGTATAAAAGCTTTACCTTTCACTGTTCAAAAGTAATGGCAAAGGTTAATTTTTTATAACTATTTTTATAACTATCTCTAAGAAAAAGGTCAAAATTGATGATACTTAATAAAAGGTAGTTCTGAAAGACATAATTAAATACCTGTTTTAAATGCCCTCTCTATTGTTGCAAGGAACACCACGTATTCGCAGTGCACTCCTGTTAAACGATGTGACCCGCAATACTTTTTTAAAATCTCTTATTGCACAATTCTAGACAATAACCATTTAAAATGGGCATTTAGCCCGACTATCGATAAGAACTAGCTAATTTATACCAATGTTAACAAGTTAATGATATATAGAAAAAACATGAACGTTTCAATTTAGACATATGTGAAGCAGAAAAGTTCTGGTATCTAAAACAGGTATTTAATTATGTCTTTCAGTTAACAGTTACGAGTAAAGGCAATGCTATTCATTTTTATACTGTATATAAAATGCAGATAAAACTGTTTATAATATATTTGTTTAAAAAAACAATTTAATTCAAAAAAGTTTCACTGCTAACTAATTTCATCGATGTATTTTTATACCCGATTACAAATGGAAAGCAATATTAGAGAGCTATGGTTGCTTTGTTAAAGTGATTCACAATCATAATAATACAAATTGTAAAGATAAAGTGTGGAAAGGGGAAATACATGTATATTGCAGAAATTCATGCATAGAAGATTTATATAAACGTGTAAAGCATTGTATTTGGTCTTTATTTATTTTCTATTGTGTACCACTCAGTGAAATAATATACATGTATCTATACATCACAGAAGAGATCAACTATTAAAATCTTTTATATTAAAGAATATGCATATTGTTATATTAAGTATTTTCTGACATATAAAGAGAACTACTGAAAAATTTACTTTATTTGCAGACCGTATCTTTAAATGGCAACGTCTAGATCGCCAAGGGCTCAACACTACATTGATTGTGAAGAATGTGGTGAAAATCCAGCACAGTTTCTGTGTAAATCTTGTCCAGGGCATCTTCGCGAGACGTGTAAAACAAAGCACAAGACGCGAAAAATAAGTAAAAGTCACGAAGTTATACACTTACACAGAAACGTTGAGGGTACTCTTGGTGTACTTTACTGTGAGAAACATACAAAAAACAAACTCGAGTGGTATTGTTCTCCCTGCAAAGTACCTGTGTGCGCAGAATGTCATATTGGTCCCCACAATGGACATGAAATGAGAGATCTGAATAGAGTGTATGATGAGATACGAAAGAAACGTAAAGAAGAAAACGATCAAATAGAGGAGGTACTTCTACCCAAATTTAACAAATTGTTATCTGAGGAGAAAACTAAGAAAACAGAAATACTAAATAAAGTAAATGACGCTGATAAGAAAATGAAAGAGCGTATACGGGAATTACAAGAAGAAATAGATAAGTTACAGGAATATAAAAAGAATGCGGTTAAAATTTTAGAAGAAAATGAAAGTAAACTTGATGCCACAATTAAAACACTGGAAAAAATCAATGAAGAAATCACCAAACAGCTGTCTGTAAAACCTGGAATTGCATTTTTTGAGAATACATCCTACAATCTCTCTAGATACACACATACCGATTTTCAACCTGACATAATCATTACAAAATTGTGATGTGTTTTCAATCTAATTTTTTTGGTTTAGTTAAAGTTGAATATTTAGTTAAAGTTGAATATTCACACACTTCAGTTTATTAGAGGTGAACTCTTCAAAAGTTTATGTGAAAAGTAGACGTTGATATTTTTTTTTACATATTCGTGATCATCATGTTTTTGATTTTTACAAAATAAAAAAATAAGCTGTTTTGTTTTCTTTTTTTCCTTATATCTCTTTATAGTTCTCTTATATCTAGTAGATAGCTAAAAATATTGGTTCTTCAATATGTTTAATATAATCACTTTATCCATGATAATAATATAATATAGTATAATAACGAGTTGTTTTTAAAATTTTACTGCATAGATACCATCGGCAACAAATGTTTCTTTTATTATTATTAATTAATCGAAGTCGTTAAGACATTATATCCCCAAACCATTTATAGAACCAGTATGCATTTTAGTATTTCACAAGAGCAAGCTTGTTTAAAAAACCAATTTTTAGAAGGGACGCTGGTATTCCCATATTTGTTTCAGTGTAAAAATTTTTCAAGTCATTAAATTTTGTTTGTAAATTAGAAGTTTAATAGCTTTTTGACAAATTAGCGCAGAAAGAGTCTGAGTATTCAAAGTACAAGTATTATTAAAGGACAAAGCTTTCCCGAAAGGGTTAATGGGAATGTAGAAAAAGGCGCAAAGCAACCTTTATAGGGTATACAATTATAATTAATTGATACTGACAGCAAACTGATTTCCATTCCTAATGGCTCTAATATAAATATTTCAAACTTTACGGATATAACAAATGACACTTTTTTGTAAGCAAAATCAACAGTCACTGGTACCTTGTTTAAGAGCGACGCATACACTTTAGGGAAAAAAAAGGTAAAACTAAGAAAAAGGTATGGTTTCAATACAAATTTTGCCCTGTGATTTTCTAAAAAATGAAACTGGTGCAAAAGTTAAAAAGACATAATTTTTTAAAAATTGAAATTCAATGCATAAAAATCATACAAGTCATTTTTCTCACAAGTTGTTTTAAATGTTAATTATGACGTCATACACATGTGTATTTTCCCGTATTACAAATTGTTATCTGAGGAGAAAACTAAGAAAACAGAAATACTTAATAAAGTAAATGACGCTGATAAGGAGATGAAAGAGCGTATACGGGAATTACAAGAAGAAATAGATAAGTTACAGGAATATAAGAAGAATGCGGTTAAAATTTTAGAAGAAAATGAAAGTAAACTTGATGCCACAATTAAAACACTGGAAAAAATCAATGAAGAAATCACCAAACAACTGTCTGTAAAACCTGGAATTGCATTTTTTGAGAATACATCCTACAATCTCTCTAGATACACACATACCGATTTTCAACCTGACATAATCATTACAAAATTGTGATGTGTTTTCAGTCTAATTTTTTTGGTTTAGTTAAAGTTGAATATTTAGTTAAATTAAATATTCACACACTTTAGTTTATTAGAGGTGAACTCTTCAAAAGTTTGTGTGAAAAGTAGACGTTGATATTTTTTTTTACATATTCGTTATCATCATGTTTTTGATTTTTACAAAATAAAAGAATAAGCTGTTTTGTTTTCTTTTTTTCCTTATATCTCTTTATAGTTCTCTTATATCTAGTAGATAGCTAAAAATATTGGTTCTTCAATATGTTTAATATAATCACTTTATCCATGATAATAATATAATATAGTATAATAACGAGTTGTTTTTAAAATTTTACTGCACAGATACCATCGGCAACAAATGTTTCTTTTATTATTATTAATTAGTCGAAGTCGTTAAGACATTATATCCCCAAACCATTTATAGAACCAGTATGCATTTTAGTATTTCACAAGAGCAAGCTTGTTTAAAAAAACAATTTTTAGAAGGGACGCTGGTATTCCCATATTTGTTTCAGTGTAAAAAATTTTCAAGTCATTAAATTTTGTTTGTAAATTAGAAGTTTAATACTTTTTGACAAATTAGCGCAGAAAGAGTCTGAGTATTCAAAGTACAAGTATTATTAAAGGACAAAGCTTTCCCGAAAGGGTCAATGGGAATGTAGAAAAAGGCGCAAAGCAACCTTCATAGGGTATACAATTATAATTAATTGATACTGACAGCAAACTGATTTCCATTCCTAATGGCTCAAACTTTACGGATATAACAAATGACACTTTTTTGTAAGCAAAATCAACAGTCACCGGTACCTTGTTTAAGAGCGACGCATACACTTTAGGAAAAATAAGGTAAAACTAAGAAAAAGGTATGGTTTCAATACAAATTTTGCCCTGTGATTTTCTAAAAAATGAAACTGGTGCAAAAGTTAAAAAGACATACTTTTTTAAAATTGAAATTCAATGCATAAAAATCATACAAGTCATTTTTCTCACAAGTTGTTTTAAATTCTAATTATGACGTCATACACATGTGTATTTTCCCGTATATTCTAAAAACATTACAGAAGACACCAATTTTCAAAGGAATTTTCTTTCAGATAACATTGTCCACAGGCATCGCCCACAAAGATCTTGAGATATGTGATTTTTTATTGAATTTTGCACAAATATATCATAAAATTAACGTGGGCAACGGCTGTGGACACTGTTTTCTAAAGGAAAATTAGCCTTGAAATGTGCCATTTTGAGGCTTTTTCTGTTGGTTATAGAGAAATAATTCACATTAATGATGTCATATTTGCAGAATGGTAAACCTTCATGCCATATTCTTTCCTGATTTATCAGTCTTTTATTTAACTTTTATTTAAGTCAGGTTGAAAACTTTTTGATGTATTACATTTTTAGGGCGCAATAAATCTAAAACCATACCTTCTTTTTTAATACATTATATCGATAATTATTAAATGAAGACACTAAACAAACGTTTGGTCAAGCTAACATCTGTAATAGTTATCGACTATGAAATATATATTTTGATATCATAATGATAAGATATTACATATGTTCTTCACTGTCTGGCACAATTCAAAGAGTAACAAAATTCTTGTTTTCAGAGGGAGGGGGTGTCTCAAAATGCAATTAATTAACAAGTGTTCTTGTTTTTATAGACTGCTATAAAACACGACAGTTACAAAGGTGCAACAAACTAAATTCAATCCCTTAAGTTACCCTATTGTGTGAATATAAATATTTTTTTTATCCAGTTTGGAGCACATCGACTTGCTATTTTATCTAATTTTATCTTATGTTTGGGTAGTACCCGGGAAGTCACAGTAGAAAATACACCTGTTTGGCTTGTAAGAAGTAGTCTGGGTATGTTCTTAAAGTACATCAGATGTTTAGTAGAATTAATATGCAATTTGTTATACATGTTTTTTTTTGTTAGAATGTGTTGCAGATACATATTTTATTAATTTTCCATGCATACATGTATTTATTAAATACATGTATGGTAAGTATGATTTATTATATTTAATTTGATTTGAAATGCACATGTTGAATAATATAATTATTCAATTTAAAGCCTTTAGTGTGCATTCACCCATGTCTGTCAGAGGTGTATATAGGTAGAAATGGCCTTAGGTCATTAATTATATATCCAGGCCTAATGTTGGATGTTTCTTTTAATTTCATTGGTGTTTTACTTTGTGTTTTACTTGGGGATTGGTTAGTGTTTTTCCCTCCAGAAGGTTCTTGGTTTTCTGGACATTCTTTGTCCAGAGGTTGGTCAGTGATAATGTATTTGTTGATATTTTGACAGTCAGACCTTTTTCATAGAGACTGACTTTCTTCTCCTTCTGGTAAGTTAACAATTTATTACTAATATTAATTTGATTTTTATATTTCAATTAAATGTCCAGTCAGTAATTTTGCATTCTTGATCTATTTCCCAAGCAATTTCCCTGAGTAAATGAGATCAGTGAGAATGATATTTTTTAAGTATGATGTAATATAAAGATCTCATTGATATATATTTTTAAGGTTACATATTTTTACGATTTGGTGTGCAATTGTTGTGTAATTAATTTACAGACCACTCAGACTATGTACATCTGCAGCATTGCTGCTTGCTGTTATGTATACACACCTATTCCCATACAATGGTATGCATATAGTTTTATGATTATTCAGTAACATTTGTATAATGTTCAAATACATTATGATGATAATTATTGTAAAGTTTTATGATGAATATCGATTGATATATAATTGCGGAGAAATATATGTATATTCTATGTGTAATGAATTATCTCCCTTGACAATCATTGTATTTTTATGCTAAAATATTTACACTTGTTATATTGTTAATATCGCAGGGTTTAATTCATATCCGGTAATAAAGTCTTGTCAGAACCCCCAACAGGCAGTTATTCTTCATTTGATAACCTCCAAACCTGTTACATTTGGCGCCCATGTAGGGACAAGACGACGCCAGAGGAATTCCTGAGTACCTTGGAGAAGATTCTCACCATTTCCACCCTGTGATGTACGTCCTATCGCCATGAACTGATTATCCGTATAACTTCATGTGTATTTGAACTTTTTGGATCCACCACTGATTCACGTAGTGCTACGACCGTGATCGTGACCTGCAGGCCTACTCGTGCACGGGACTCGGTGAGCTCACAGACATTTGAATGTGTTTATATTATTTTGTGTGTTATTGTGAGTTGTGTATTTATTCTATTCTGATTGGTTTAACTTATAAGGATCAGCTGATCGGTGAGTCATGTACATGTAAATATCTGTAGATTAGAATATTTGTCTGTCAAACTTTTGAAGGGTATTTGCAGCTGCATGTTTAGGATTTTTGATTGTTAATTAACATACCATCATAGTCTGTTGAACATTGGGTACCCCAGTCATTTTACACATTAATTAGAACATTTTATTATTTGATTGTTTATAAAGTGCCGTATTATTAGATCTTAGTGTAGGATAGCCGTAAGTGAGCGCAGAGTATGAGAGATCACCTGAATTGCACTTTATCCCGAATTCCATGGTACCCATATTACTACTTACAGTAACATCATGGAGTAGGTACTAATTATCTATTACTTTGACCCACATAAGAAAGCAAGACAGACTAGACAAGTTTACAGGTAAATAGTTGTCATATAAGGTTGCTTGATTGAAGGAACAGATTTTGGTTGGTTGATTTGGGTTGTTATTTTATAGTTGTAAAAAGTTTGTGTTTTAAAACCCCTTGCCCATAGCTCTTTACTTTACATTCCATTTCAATTCAGATAAATTGAAAACCCTTAGTATAATACAGTACATATCTCTTATTTTCAGCCGCGTTCCGTTTTGTTTTCTTTCCTAACTCTGTCAGGTTTGTTGTTCTACTTTCTGTTTACAGCTTTGCGTTTATTTTCGATCGATCTCGATATTCCGATTTTCCGATACCAGAAGTTTCGTTTTTGTAAACACGCGATTTTGGTTTTTGCTTTAAAATTTGTTTAGTTTTAAGTTTAGCTTTAAGTATTTAGAATTAACTTCATTTTTACATTTATTTAGTTAAGTAGTTAATTATTTACTTCTGTGCTAGTGATAGGGGAGCAGTAGCGGATTTCTCAGGTAAATTGTGGAATAAAATACTTTGAAAGTTACAGTAGTTTGGAATCAACTGTTTTTGTGTTGAAAAAATCTTCGAACTTGTTTTCAGCTAATTTGTTTCCCAGCCGTCCAGTAACCTTTAATTTTTAATTTCAGCATTATCTTTCAGGGTATCCCAGTATAACGCAGTGAATTGTAAATAATTATTTTGCTTTTCAGAGAGCTATAGTTTTGAATATATTGATAGTACATATCTATACTTTATTTAATTTATTTACAAGCTCATATTGTAAACCGGAAGTGCAGTAGTCCATCGGAAGTGCATATCTACTTTCACTTTGACTTAATTACAGACATTATGTAAACAATCCCTTATTATTTAAGTTCATTTGAACTTACCCACCTTATTTGCTAACAATTTTCTCCAGTATTATTTAGTTCAGTTTGAGCTACCCTCCTGAGAATTTCTACACTTATTTTATTTTTTTCCTGCGTATAAATTTTGATATTACCCCCTTAATCATTGAATTGCTCACCTGAAACTTTAATTTCTTTTTTTCTGCCCTGTGTTTACTTGGTTGGTTTTTGACTACCCTGCTTGATTTACAAATTTGCTGATACATGTGTGCTTGAATTATATTATTTTCCCTGTACATAATTTGTTGAAATCTTTTTACACGCTTGTTACCATCAATCTAAATCAATCACTGTGAAGGACAAAGAACCAACTGCGGAGTCGCCTAAACCTATTATGTCAGCTGAAGAGACTGAACAGCTTATGAAAATGATTACCGCCATGGGAGTTAAACCAAAGTGTGATACACCACAAGATCTACTGAAATGGATGTCAGATATGGTAGGTAAAGAGGAACATGTTCCTGAATCTTTTTCAGTTAAGAAGGAACCCTTCACACCTACATCAAAACAGACGATGGAGTATCCAGTGACCTTCAAGCAACCCTTGCGTATCTCCACATTTTCTGGAGGCGGAAAAGGAGAAACATCGTACGAGTTATGGCGATACAAGGTGACATGTTTGTTGAAGGAAGGCCACTCGAAGGAATCTATACTGATGGCTATCAGACGATTATTGAAGGGAGAGTCCGCCAATGTATTGATGAGGCTAGGCACCATCATCAAAGTTGACGACATTATCGTGAAGTTCGATAGCATCTATGGAAGTGTGTTGGAGACAGAAAATATTCTTGCAGAATTCTACAGTGCAAGGCAAAAGGACACGGAGGATTGTGCTTCCTAGAGTGTGAGACTAGAAGATCTCATCACTAGAGCCATACAGAAAGGAAAGGTGTCGCAATTTGGAGCAAACGAGATGCTGAGGACCATGTTCCATAAAGGATTACGGCCAGATCTCAGAGATATTACAGGACATCTTTTCCAGACCATTCTTGATTTTGATAGGCTGCAGTTGCTATACCGAAAGTAGAGACAGAGCATGTGCCAGTAGCGAAGCCAAAACAAGCCATTGTGAAAGCTGCCACAAGTGATGAACGGTTTGATCAGCTTCAGGCTCAACTGAATCAACTTTCAACGCAGATGGCACAGATGAGGCAGCCATATCCTCAATATCATCAGCCTAGATTTAGACCACCATTCCAAAGAGGACGAAAAAATCCTAGAGGTTATATGTCACAAGCAAGAATGCCTTTTACTCAGAGAGTGGAAATGGATGAGGTACAGCCTACATCTTCACCTTCACCCAGAAGGCAGCAAGGTAAGGTGATTTGCTATCGTTGTCATCAAGAAGGACACATTGCTCTTGGATGAAGAGTTCTCCTCGATCATCAGCGATCAGCCCAGTCAACTCCAACAGGCCAAATCCTGGGGCCAAGGGTTTGGCCATGCCAAATACAGGTCCAACACCAAAGAATTAGTAGGCGAGGCAAATGAAGTGACTGTGGCAATCAACGATGTAACTTGTGCAGCATTACTGGATACAGGTGCAACAGTTTCCACCATCACCACAAATTTTTATCAGAGGCACTTATCTCACATTAAGATGCATCCAGTTGAGGACATTTTACACATAGAGTGTGCTGACGGAGAACAGATGCCTTACTTTGGATATGTTTGTGTGACCTTAACTGCTTATGGAACGCCACTTGATTTATTAGAGAACTGCCTATTCCTCATAGTACCAGACAGCACTTATAATTCTCGGGTACCAGTACTCATCGGAACTAACATCATTAACCGATTGATGGAAAATGCAAGAGAAGAATTTATCTCAAGATATCTACAAGATGCTGATCTCCATACATTTTGGTACTTATCGTTTAGATGTATGAACTTAAGGAGCAAAGAACTGCAGAGGAATGGAAACAAGCTCAGCATCATCAAGTCAGCAGAACCTTAAAGGATAACTATACCACCTAATGGATGTGTTGTGGTCCAAGGACATTTGGATAGAAAGTTGCCTTACCAGCAAGTTCTTACCATGCTACAAGCAACAAAACGCTCGAGTATCCCAACTGATTTGGACAACACAACATCATTACATCTCTACAACTTTGAGGACAGCCACAACGTTCCAGTTGAAATAAGCAACGTCACCACCAGAACAGTTTCTATTGCACCGAGAGCCATTCTATGTGAGCTGCAACCAGTGACTATTTTGGAAACAGAGATGCCTAAGTCATCATTTATGCCTGAAATGGACAAATTATTTGAGAAAATTAAGATCTCACTAGATTTCTCATCAGAGGAGCAGAGGAGATGTAAAGATCTGATCTTGGAGTATGCAGATATTTTCTCAAAGGGTGCCATAGATATTGGTACGACGGACAAGGTCAAACAAAGGATAGACCCACATGATCCAACACCCTTCAAGCAGAAATACAGAAGAATTCTTCCTGCTGCCATTGAGGAAGTTAGGACACACATACAGGAACTTCCAGCAAGCGGTGTTATACGTCCGTCCCATTCACCATTTTCCTCTAATGTGGTTCTTGTTAGGAAACATGATGGGTCGTTACGCCTCTGCATAGATTATAGACAGCTGAACTCGAGAACCATCAAAGACAATTATGCCTTACCACGAATAGACAAGATCTTAGATTCACTATCAGGGAACAGATTATTCACAGTTCTCGATATGAAGTCAGGGTATCACCAGATTGAGATTGAAGAGGCACACAAAGAGAGGACTGCATTTACTGTGGGGCCATTGGGATTTTACAAGTTCAACAAGATGAGTTTTGGACTAGCCAATGCGCCTGCCACGTACCAGCGTCTGCAAGAACAATGCCTAGGTGACCTACACTTAAAGATCTGTTTTATTTACCTCGATGATTTGATAATTTTCTCTAAGACTTTTGAGGAACATCTTCACAGATTAAGACAAGTTTTCGACAGAATTGGACAATTTCATCTCAAAATTTCCCCAAAGAAGTGTTCATTCTTCATGAATAAGTAAAGTACATTAGACACATTGTTTCTGAAGAGGGAGTGCAAGCAGACCCTGACAAGATAGACAAAGTTAAGAATTGGCCTACCCCGTCAAACCCAGAGGAAGTTAGATCATTTCTAGGATTTGTCGGTTATTACCGAAAGTTTATACAGAACTTTGCCAAGATTGCACGTCTGCTCATAAATATCATGGCTACTGGTAAGAAGACTCGGAACAGAAAAGAACAGTCTACAAAGTGGAAGTGGGGTGAGCAACAAGCACAGGCTTTTCAGGTATTGAAAGACAAACTTACTACTCCCCCTATACTTGCCTATCCTGATTTCACCAAGCCTTTTGAGCTGCATACAGATGCCTGTGGAACAGGACTTGGAGCCGTTCTATACCAGGAGCAAGATGGACACAACCAAGTCATATCATACGCCAGCAGAGGATTGTCCAAATCTGAAAAAAAAATTATCCGACACACAAGCTGGAGTTTTTAGCTCTTACATGGGCGATAACGGAGAAATTTTCAGATTACCTCATGGGTCAGACGTTCTTGGGATATACGGACAACAATTCATTGACGTATGTGTTGACCTCCGCCAAGCTTGACGCAACTGGACATAGGTGGATTGCTGCCCTTTCTGCATACCAGTTCACCATTACATACAAGCCTGGCAGGACCAATGCGGATGCTGATGCCCTTTCCAGACTTCCAGAGACTCTTAGTACAGAATCAGTCATAGCTATATGTAACCTTTAAGAAGGACATCCCCTCATTGAGACTTTACCTGTACATCTCGCAGTTAGCCAAGATATGAAGTCATCAATCCAGGATTCTGACACATTCCAGAGGATAGACCTCCACGACATACAGAGGAAGGATCCATTTATATCTATTTGGAAGAAGTATGTCAAGAATGGTAAGAGACCAAAGAAAGATACAATGACGGGAGATCTGGATAAAGCCATGTACCAGAATTTTAGGAAATTCAGGATTGTTGATGACTTACTGGTGCGAATTACATGTGCAGATGATGACACTGAACATCAACAAGTGGTCGTTTCCAAAGAAGTTGAACCTACCATCCTTAATTTCCTCCACAACCAGATGGGACATCCTGGCAGGGAGAGAACAACATCATTAGTTATGGATAGGTTTTATTGGCCAAGGATGCAACGAGATATTGCTATCTGGATAGAAGAGTGCGACAGGTGTCTAAAGTTCAAATCTCCAGATAACTAACGAGCATCCATGGTCAACATCACAACTTGTCAACCGATGGAACTTGTATGCATTGACTACTTGACTCTGGAACCTTCAAAAGGTGGAATCCAAAACATCCTTGTAATTACAGACCATTTCACTAAATTCGACATTGCCGTTCCTACTAGAAATCAGACAGCAAAGACAACAGCGGATGCTTTATTTAACAACTTCATCATGCCTTACAGACTTCCAAACAAAATTCACTCAGATCAAGGAGCTAACTTTTCAGTAAATTAATCCAGGAACTTTGTCAGCTTACAGGTATATCTAAATCCAGAACAACACCATATCATCCGATGGGAAATGGTGTTACTGAGCGCTTTAACAGGACCTTGATTTCCATGTTAGGAACACTACAGCTCGACCAGAAGTCAAACTGGAAAGCATACATCGGACCACTTGTTCATGCCTATAATGCTACCAAGCATGAGACTGCAGGCTATTCACCATTTTTCCTAATGTTTGGTAGGGAGCCAAACTTACCCATAGATTTGGTTTTTGGATTAGCTAATGGTGAAAAAGCAAAGATGACTTCAGCTTGTATAGAAAAGCTTAGACAAAGACTTACAGAAGCCTATGATGCAGCAAATACAGCTATTAGGAATAGCCAAGCTCGTCAGAAAGCCAACTATGATATTAAGACAAAAGGTGTTACTTTGGAGGTGGGGGATAGAGTGTTGGTGAAGGTTGTTGCCTTTGAAGGAAAACACAAGATCGCCGATCGCTGGGAGGATTTTCCCTATGTTGTCCTGGAACAACCGTACTGTAACATTCCAGTCTACAAAGTGAAGAGAGAAGATGGAGAAGGAAGATGTAGGACATTGCATCGTAATTTACTTCTGCCCATTGGTTCTAAGATTCCCTCTTCAACACCAACACCTAAACCAAGGAAGAAGACAGGAGATAAGAGAGAGTTCGTTCAGACGAAACCACCCATTAGAGAGAATGAGGATGAGTCTGACGACGGTGATGAAGATATTATAGTACATATAGAAGGTACCGGTACCATCGAAACTCAGAGCACATCTAAGGAGGACGCTCCTATGCCCATCATTGTACCTGATGATGATGATGATGATGATGATGTTCCTGAGTCAGTGTCTGAGATGACATTCATAGATGAACTTCATCCAGAGGATCCAGTTACTGCAGCTGACAAAGATGAGACTAATGATATCTCCGTGTCTTCGCCACCTAGTACACCGCAACCTGTACCAAGAATTTCCACAAGGAAGAAAGTAAAACCAACCTGGACTAAAGATTATGTTATGTCTCTTCAGCATCATCCAGAGTGGATGCAGAAGGCTGCTTACCTGGAAAAGATTGTAGTAGATGGAACTTTCCAGAAGCTGGATAAGGAGGCATCCAAAGCCCTTATCAGCATCATAACAGGTAAGTGATGTTTTAATTGTATATATTGTTTCTTTTACACCGAAACACAGTACTTTGTGTCACATTCTGGGTCCTGGCAATGGCGCGGACGCCATTCTCACACCAGGGGGAGAATGTGGAAGATTCATATTTTATAAATTTTCCATGCATACATGTATTTATTATATACATGTATGGTAAGTATGATTTATTATATTTAATTTGATTTGAAATGCACATGTTGAATAATATAATTATTCAATTTAAAGCCTTTAGTGTGCATTCACCCATGTCTGTCAGAGGTGTATATAGGTAGAAATGGCCCTAGGTCATTAATTATATCCAAACCTAATGTCGGATGTTTCTTTTAATTTCATTGGTGTTTTTCTTTGTGTTTTACTTGGGGATTGGTTAGTGTTTTTCCCTCCAGAAGGTTCTTGGTTTTCTGGACATTCTTTGTCCAGAGGTTGGTCAGTGATGATGTATTTGTTGACATTTTGACAATCAGACCTTTTTCATAGAGACTGACTTTCTTCTCCTTCTGGTAAGTTAACAATTTATTACTAATATTAATTTGATTCTTATATTTCAATTAAATGTCCAGTCAGTAATTTTGCATTCTTGATCTATTTCCCAAGCAATTTCCCTGAGTAAATGAGATCAGTGAGAATGATGTTTTTTAAGTATGATGTAATATAAAGATCTCATTGATATATATTTTTAAGGTTACATATTTTTTATGATTTGGTGTGTAATTGTTGTGTAATTAATTTACAGACCATTCAGACTATGTACATCTGCAGCATTGCTGCTTGCTGTTATGTATACACACCTATTCCCATACAATGGTATGCATATAGTTTTATGATTATTCAGTAACATTTGTATAATGTTCAAATACATTATGATGATAATTATTGTAAAGTTTTATGATGAATATTGATTGATATATAATTGCGGAAAAATATATGTATATTATTTGTGTAATGAATTATCTCCCTTGACAATCATTGTATTTTTTATGCTAAAATATTTACACTTGTATATTGTTAATATTGCAGGGTTTAATTCATATCTGGCAATAAAGTCTTGTCAGAACCCTCAACAGGCAGTTATTCTTCATTTGATAACCCCCAGGCCTGTTACAAATGTACACATTTAATATGGTTGATTTACTATATATTTCCCATGGGGACTATTTCTTCGGGCTTTCGTCCAGTTTCTATATGACAATGGTCTTGAACCATCTTCCTAGTCAAGAGTTTCTGATCCGCCCCGTTCCACATAAGTCCTTGACAATGGTCTTGAACAATCTTCCTAGTCA